AAAAATTGGTATAGTTGTATTCAAAGATGATTACACAATTCCCCAAAAATTTCATCTTTTTCTTGGTTTGTTGGTAGGAGCACAAGAGGAATGGCAATCAAATGAAAATTATCATACAATAAATATGTATAATACAGATAAAATATATATTTTGGACATCCTGAAAAAACATGGAAGTTCTTTAGAAACTTAAAAACAATACTAAAATAGAGAGGATTTTGTGACCTCCTATTCCTTCCAACACAAATCAGTAATGGTAGTTTTCTTGACTGGGCAAAAGGCACTACTGGTTATAATTATTGCATGCTTTTCTCACTTACCCAAAAAATTACATAGTTTGCTTGGCAAATTAAAATGAATAAACTAGTGTCCAAATTGCACTCTTAGTCACATTTCACTCCACAATGTTTTACTACCTAGTTTTAGTGTTAATATTGAAAGATAGACAAAAAATGAAAGTAAATCAGTACAATTCATCACCCCAAAATAACTCAAAACATTTACACAATTTTTAATTATATGACCAAAGAGTTTCTAGCTACAAGTTAGATTTTGTCCACAAACTCTAGTTTTATTCTAGTCTTAATTAAAAGAATGAAGAATTACTAACTGCTCATACTTTAGAAGAAAGGGTCTCAAAATTTTGAAACTACTACAACTCATAGTATCTTTATACCATAACTCTTACAATCTTATCTTTATACTTTTCAGTACAAAATTAACTGCTCATAATTTGGAGCTAATAGATGCAGAGGACAGAAAATCATTTCAATGCTACAAATTCTTTAAACATTCATACAGTCAAGCTTAATAATTTTCACCACAATATGATATATGAATCTTCATAGGAAAAATATTTGATTATTGTACATTACAATCTGTTGCTTCAAGCAAAGATTGACATTTATAAAGGAAGAAGCACTTCACAAGCAAAGGATTATGTGTCTTTGCCATTGCACAAGGCAAATCACATAAAATGTTTCTCAAGCGACTACAAATTCTGGAAGCATTTGCAAAAATATACATAGAGTTACTCCCAAGCAATTTCTATGAATTTGCTTAAATACATTGACAAATAAAATTGTATATCACATCTACAGGACTGATTATTTCTGGCCTGTTTCTCAAAATTTTCATTACCAACTATTTTAAACCACATCAAGTTTTTCTAAATAACTTAACATAAATTACAGTAATTAGCATAAGGCTTTCCCAAGAGTAATGAAATGTACTGTAGGAACTCAATATCACACAAAGTTCAAATTTATACAATTTAGCTTACAAATCGTATTCCCGAATTACTATAACAACTTTGAGAAATAAAGTTGCATTTATTATATTTTGAAATATAAAAATTAAATAAACAGCAAACAGGAGATAATAATATTAGAGAAATTAAAAGGATATGCAAATAAATCTATCAATGGTTGAGTTTCTTTGCATTAGTACAAATCACTTGATTCATTTCGTACCTCAATGAAGTAAATGTCATTAAATATTCTAACTTTACAAATTACATTTCAGGACTAGAATTTACAAATAGCTAGTAGACCTCATAGCATTTATTACTAATTAATAGTATAAAAACTTAGTAAGATGACAAAGTAAAGAACAAATTTGATTAGCTGAATATTTATTTCCAATTCAAATTAAATTAAAAGACAATAGAGTTCTGAATGTGAGACATACTAAATTACTTTGCATTAAATAATTTGATACAATGTAACTATAGATGTAAATGCTTATATTCTCCTACTTCAAATTCAACAGTTCATCAAAATTGCAAAATCAGAATAAACAGGAATGAAATTTCTTTATTTCTAATAACATACCTTGTAAATCAATTTCATTAGAACTCAAATTCCCATTGCAACCATTGCATTCTCAGTAGAAAATGGTTTACTTCCTCCATAAACCGAACAGTTGGAGTACCTCATAATCAAACGAATACACTATTGTGAAATAGCTTGAAAGATAATTTGTCATTTCTTTTTTTTTTTTTAATAAAGATATTACTATAAATATTTCAATTATGCAATTGTTTTTGACAATTATCAATTTGTGAAAACATTTCAAAAAACATTAACTTGCAACTCTTAAAATAATTGTAGTACTCAATACAAATGTATTTAATTATTTACTCTTGTGCCAAGATGTTTAATCACATTGAAGTAAATAATTTTCCAGAATTACTCCAAAAATGGAACTGAAAACACGAAATAGTTGGGAAGTGCTGCAATTAGCAAGGCTACCTTAATTTGTAAGTCAGCAGAAGAAGAAAACAAGATAGAACAATTGATGTTTATTGCCTAGTATTAAGACTAGTAAAAGAAGGCTTGCCTATTTACACATAGAAAACATCAATATGGACAAGTGAAAAATAAATATAATTCGTATGTTAAAGAGAGTTGCTAAATAGTAACAGCCTCCTCTCTGCTCCTTTTTTCAATAAACTAACTTCTTATAAGAACGCAGACCCTGTAATTGTCAACCCAGACTAATCAGACAAGCATGAACATTAAAATTACAAAAAGCATTTTTTTTGCACAACATTTAAAGCAAAAATATTCTTGGTGTTATGGTTACATAAACTTTTCTAAAAAACATTAAGAGCAAAAAAGGTTATTACTTGGTCCAATGGTATATCTGGAATGACAATAACAAGATTTGACACTAATAAGTATAAAATCAATTATGCATTATCCTACAGCCTGCAAATTTTGTGAGCTACATGGAACTTTCAACACTAAATGATTTTTCCTTAAGAAATCTCTTATGTTGCTTACCTTTCATATGTTACACCTACACACAGAATATTTCATTTATTCATTCCATATTTATTTTCACTGGGATCTGTTATGATAACTTGCTGCAATAAAGTTGTAAAAATACAAGGAAACCTTAAAAATAGTATCCCAATGGAAATTGTTTATCATCAAGCACATACAAACACTCCACAAATACCAAGCATTTGAAAAATAAGATTTTCACCTGCACAACAAAGTAACTATTTTTATTCATTTGACTAATATCCAAGAAACATTCAATCTCTTCTTTCAAACTTCACAAACCACTTTGGAAATATAAAAATTGCAACAGACATTTTCAAGTGATCAATAGAATTGTATTGACACAGAAAAAAATAGATCTCACCATTCATATTTGCACTATTCAAAACAGTCTTCTAGGTAAGTTCAATCATTTGGGGAACACTTCTGAGTCTCTGAATTATTTGTGTTCATGTTTGAAAGTGTTTTTGTATTTCCATTCTTTATAAAAAAGAAAATCCAATTTATTGTAAACTATACTGCCATGCCATATTGTTCCTTGTTCCCTACATGCAATGAACAAATAACCATGGATTTATTCCAAAGTTTATGGAATACTACATTGTACCTCATGCAATAAACCTGCTATAACAGAAAGAAATAGTTCTGGAGACTCAAAAAAGTAAGGCTATGAGTAAACAAATAAAAAAGACTGCATAGACATTTAACCAACTTGTTTTAGGAATCTACAGTGATTTCTATTTTTTAATCACCATTGCCCCTGTGTAAAACTACATTATCACTGCTTTTGTATACCTTGAAACAAGCTACTCTCTAATAATAGTTTGTACAGATAACCTGTATTTCAACTGACAGATATATATATATATAAGTAGATCCACTTTTTATTATGCTATTTTTCTTAGAATCCAGAAACCAAGAAAAGGTTTTCAAAATACTAGCAATTTTCTTCATATTGCAGTACTTTTCAGAATATTTTAAGTTCTCATTCTTTTAATTCCTTAAAATAAGCATCTGAGCAAAAACTAAAATTAAAAACACATTTCCATTATGTTCCAATACTTACATAATAGGTTGAAATTGCTAGTACATCCATAATATTTGTCTACAACTGTTCTAAAAAGTTCTCAAATTACATTAATAAATACTCAAACACAACCTTTTAGGCCCTAATTTATCAATTTATTTTGTCTTCACCTCTTTAAATAGCACCCAAACTATTATAATTGACCTCAGAGAGAATCAAAACAAAATCTGTAATCATTCTGTAATAGCAATATAGTAACATGTAAATTTTTAGCTGCTTTTGCCTTTGTGTCTATAAAAGGACATTCATATAAGCAGATATAACGCTCTACTGAAAGTCCTCATGACCCTTAACTAAAAGTATTATATGATTTACATATAAAAGCGTTATATTGCAGAAGTAGCAATACAAATATGAAGCCCAAGAAATACTTCAAAATATAAACATATAAGAGTGGAATTACAATTATTCATTCCCTATCTTGGCAACTAAATAACCTGAAAGAAGGTTGTATTTATTTTCTTGTTATTGTGTAACATAGCGTTCTGTGGTTATTGTGTAAATACTGGCAATACATTCTGTAAGGGGAAAACTTTTATATTCTAAAAGCACACACAACTCAGAACCGCGTATTCTAATGCTAATTTATATTGTTGTTATCTGTAAGTGTATTTTCTGAAATGTACCTTAGATAGAAACAAAAAGGAATAACGGATCAATTCCTGATCTCTCTTGATTCAGTCAACCATCTTTGGGATGTATTGCACAATTTGTCATTCAAGTACAGATCAGAAATTTCGTTTGGTAATATACAAATCTCCATCCCACCACCAAAATTCTCTCAACCCCTTAAAAATATATTTTCTTTAATTTTGAATACATCTGGAATAAAGTTACATTTGCAAGATTCGTTATTTAACATGACTGCATTATTTTCTTATTTGTTTCATTACTTGTTTTTATTAAATGGACATTAAAAAATTACAGGTTGTGACCATTGAAAAAATAGTTTCTTGTAATCACAAAAGTGAAATATTTTAATGCAGAATATAATTTGTAACCGTAACTCAAAAAGAGTTTGTTAAGTTCAAAATGCTACAGCCAACTTTTAAATAAATTTACCTTCTAATTTTGGAATACAAATAGAAAACAAAATACTATTCAGAGCTGCATGATCGTATTTTACCCACTACTCAGAATTATCTTAATTGAAAGAAGGAAGAAAGAAAAAAAGAAAAGAAAAAAGAGAAAGAGAGAGCAATAATTTAAACATTCAATAATACTTTGAACCTTCAGGTAATACCTGCAGAAGACTTTCAAAAGAACCAACAGAGAATTGATAGTTAAAATATTTCAGACTTATAACAACTGAAAATGATCACAAGAAAGTGCTGCTGAAAACACCCATGGACAATGCAAACTTACAGCAAATTTGGTAACAAGTTTATGGCTTTGTTAATTAAACCAACTAATTTTTAATACAGATAAATTTCCCATTTTTACAGCAAACTAGGTCAATATTGATTGTGAACACAAGTCGCTAAGAATGAAATACGAAAGGTTGAATCTAGTACTCAGTAACTTGAGGTCTCCATCCCAAATATGGTAAATATTTATATATTTTCAATGCAATATTTTTAGTCACATTTTTGGTATTAAAAATGTCTTTCATGCAAAAAATGACGACTTACGAAGTTATCTTAAAATTCTTCATTCATTCATGATCATCATAATGCCAATACCCTCAGTTTAGGAATGACATTCTTGTCCTTCAATAATTAAAACTAAAACATTCACCATTCAAACATCGTATCTTTAAGAGACCACATTAACAAGTGTATCACTTATTTTGCGAGAAAAAATAATTACTATTACAGGACAATTCACAAAACAGACCCTCTATCAAATTTCAAATAAACAGAAATATCAAATGTTTCACCAGAAATTAAACATTGAAAATAATTTTTGAAGTTTTAAAAAAATAGAGAAAAATATATATCATCCATTTATGAGTGATGGAGTTAAAGAATACACACTATTTTGGTAATTGGTGAACAATATCAAATTCCACATTTTTCTAGAAATTTAAAATACTATTGAATATTTATGGGTGCACTGCATTCAAAAGAATTTCAATGAACCAATCGTAACACAATATTAACTTAAAAGAGTTTGATATATTGAGAAAGTATACAACTTATTAGAAATAATTGGAGGAAGATCAAGATCTGTAAATATTACTAATATGAACATGACATGTTAAGTACTTCGAGATTAATGACAGGTCACTAAGTGTTAGTGTAATCTGGACATTCTTTAAGGCATTGGTGTGTCACTGCTTGTGTTCTATTTAATATTGAAAATAAATTCAAAGCAACCTGACTTACAGTCCATCTAAGACACACTCATTCACCTGTTTCAAGATATTAGACATAATTTACTGTTTAATATTTATTACGATGACGGGTAGCCATTCCAGAATACAAAAGCTTGTGCCACTTGATAAATTGGAAAGAGAGTTAAAGAATTAAAGGTAATAAATTTAAGTCTGATAATTTAAAAAAAAAGGAAAACTGTAGAACTTAAAGACAAAAATCTGAAAAAAGAGCAAGAGCCAGATCTACATTTCTCACCCCACAAATTAATTTAGTCCGGAATGAAGGGTTACACATACAAGAAAAAATGAACTCGAGTCTGGTGCAATGAGAGAGAATGAATTATTCATCTAGCAAGACAAATAATTTAACTGGAAGGAACGAGTACCAACAAAGTTTAACAGCAATTTAGATTTCCACTGGTATGGTAGCAGACTGAAAATCAACTGCAACCATGCTTACATTTTTTCTAAATGAAAAACACTTAACGATCTGAAAGATAGTTAATCAAGAAAATGTTTAACACAGACAAAATCCAATAAATTATAATTTAGTTCCGTTCACTTTAGTTAAATTCTACTTTTCAATAGTTCCGACGAAAGTCCCTCTTGACAACTGATGACATCCGAGTCAATAATGATATGTGCAGCCTCCACATCAGGCATGGTTTATATTACATGGTGTATCTTTCATTTTCTCTCATCTTCAATATTTGCTTAATTATCTAGGACATATTATTATTCCAGTCTCAAACAACTTTCTCTCTGTTGCAGAAGTCATTTTTCAAGTCAGAAAAACAGAATTTGGATATACAACTGACAAACATTGGCAACAAACTTCCACACAATATATACTATAATGTGAATTACCATACAGCAAGACGTCATTTGCAGTTCAAGTAGTTAGTTCACTTATTATTTGCTAGATATTTGAAGCATACACCACATTAGGGACACATTCCCATCCTCATACCTTCATTGTCCACAACCATTCCAAACTCACTGGAGCAGAGGAATAGGGTTCTACCATTTCCTCTCATTTCATTTCAGCATTGTCATCTCCTCCATTATCTATTTCTATCTTAATTCTTCAATCCGAGGCAAATCGATGGCAAGTACAGAAAGTCATGGACAAAATAAAACCTTCAGAGATGAGAAAAGTACTATAATAGAAACTTCTGGAGGTTAGAGGGTTAAGAGCTTATTCCATGACAGCTCACCTAGTTCTAGTTCTAGAGTTTGATAACTGGAACATCTCATCCATTCGTCTTTGGGCAAGCTTTAGAATCTATAATAAGAACTTAATCATCACAATATTAAGCAAATTTTTAATATTCAAAATTAATTTATCTGTATTTTAAGATATTTTGTCCAAAATCTAATGTACTTTCTTCTACACTTAGAGATAAATAAGGCTCCCAAGTATTCACTATGTTTGCCATCAACTCATTGACCAAGAAAGCCAACTTTTTACGAATATATTGTTCATACAGGAAGTGTCAAGTATGAATAATATATACTTTTCTTGTGATGGAAAGTATACAAACACTGGAATTTTTTGAAACAACTTGTATTAATGTTAACAACAAATGCATTCAGAAACTAATTTTGAACTTCATACTTCATGAAGAAAAAAAGACACAAAACCATTACCATATACATAGATGTATAAGCAGAATTAAGCCTTGTGCACAAACACAGACCATCTTAATTTTTGGTTGAGCACTGGGTAACATGGTAACACATATATTATGTGTTGCATTTCTGGTTTATTTTTCGTAGATGGTGAACTGCCACTATTCACACTCTAGGGAGGAATAATTTGTACCTACCCAGCTAACAAAGTTTCATACAACATTTATGCTCTTTGTATTTTGTCAACTTAACTAATTTTATGTACCTCAGCTTGCAAATATTAATCTTAACATGAACTCATTATTATTGCATTCTTGCTTAGAGAACTCAATAAAAATGTATTTCAAATATAAAATTGCATAAACTGCATATAAACAAACCTTATAGTGTTCCTGTTTTATAGATCAGATCACAGGTCCTAATAAACAATTTTTAATGATGCCAAATAGCTAAAACAAACAATTTAACTAATCATATATTGAGACTTCATAAACAATTTCCATTGTAGCATCACAATTATCAATAAAAACATGTATTTACTCATTAGCATATTACAGTCTTTATATGATAATTTAAACTCATGTTCACATTACTTTGCCACATGAATTAAAAACAACTATATTGTACATACAAATTGGAGTATAACAAACATTGTAAATATATAATTTCAACTATCAACTAAGACAGTGGTACAGAAAGAAATCACAAGAATTTTCATTTCCTGAGATAGAAATGATTACATAAACAATACCACAGGCACTCTCTAAAAAGCTACTATCCTTGGTAATCACAAAGTAATATTTGGTGTCGTTCTTTCAGGACTGAGTTGTTTTGATGCAAGGGCAGTCTAATAGCACCACGCGCCAGTAATACTTTTCTGTTTGCTGGGCTATCAGTCATTAAAAAATCAGTATCACAAAACAACTCGCTTCAGGTCACTCAAGGATTATAACATTAAGCATTTCTAACTTTCGTGACTAACTCTTCTTCTTTCCTAACTCAATTACACACAAATTGGAAAGCTGAAGGAAAACAGAAGGAAAGAAACAAATATATAATAACAAGTAAAGAATGGAAAATACAGGAGTATGTGCAACATATCTTAATTACAGAATTTCATGTGGCCAGTATTTGTGTCCACATATCCACAAATTAACTCATCAGTCAAGTTGTGGAGTTGGCTTCCAAATTTAAAATATTAAATTAATAATTTCATGGTAATTATTATAATAATGACAATAATAATAATAATAATAATAATAATAAAAATAAACAGGTGCTATCTAACCTAATTAATTAATTGTGGACTTATGCAATTGATCATCTCTTAGTAAATTCCATTTAATGTTGACCATCTATACTAGGAATGTATTTCCCAGAAATTCTGATACAACCCAACACTAAGAATAATGAAGTATTTCAAAATTTAATTTTGAAAGGAATACACAATCCATAATATTTTCATTTCAAAACATTACAAGTAGTCGAGCACACATTTTTACAATTTTAAGTTTCCCTCACAGTTCAGTTAAGTCAACACAACAGGCACTGTCTCTAACCATAAAAATTTAAACTGTAAATCTTAGAATGTGCGAAAATTAGAATTTTCAATTCATGCATCAGCAGTTTTTACAAAGTGTGCATTACACTGTATTTACAGCATTGGAGGTAAGAGTAAATGTAAAATTAGTAACACCATTATCTTTCATCGTTCAGTTTATTTGTACAAGAACGATAAAAAGCAATGTCTCTGTTTTTATATGGCAAACAGAAATATAAATTCCATTTGTTACAAAATCAAATACAGAACAGAATGCATTTGTCAAATTTATTTTAACAGAATTCAGGAAACAAATAGTTCTGAAGAGATGTATTTACAAGGAAATTACAATAGAATTGACAACAAAAAGCTTTCATGAAGCATAAGAGCAGAGAAGCTACCCCATTCAAGTATTTTAAAAACACACATTTGTTAGTGGGGCACTAAAAGTCTTCCTGCTTCTAAATTTATGAAAATAAATTGCAAATTGAAACATATATACATATATATATATATACAAAATAATCCAGAATTTTACATGCGAGAAATTTTGTTGTAAATAAAAACTCCCACACATCCACATTGCTCCTTTGTTTCTTTGTGTTTCAGTCACTAGCACCTTTTTTATGAAAGGTGTACCAACTAAAAGATCACTACCACCAAAAGTATATTTAGCTTGGAACAAATTGCTACAAGACCTCTCAAAATATAGAAATTTATTTTCGCAAATGGCTGAAATATCCTTCTATAAAACTTACAAATACATAACAAAATGGGATGTAAAATATTATACATCAATGAAGAAATATTCAGACAAAACTGCTACATCGCAACCGAAGATAAAGGATGATCTTCACAGAAGTTGGAAAATTTTAACTTTCGCACATTACTATTCCTTACACATACTTTCTTACTCTCAACCTACAGCTGCACAAGATGATCACTTGTCTACTGAAGTACAAGTCCAATCTGAAAATATAATTACACACAGAAATTAATTTCAAGTTTTATATAATTCAAGCTTTGACTTGTATAATTTGTATTTATAAATGTCAAAACACACTTTTTAAGTACAATAGGCTTTTCGCATTCTAGCCATTTCTTTTCATAAATATGCCAGAATACCAAGCATATTTATAATTATCAAGTTGCACACAACAATTAATATAAATATAAATAACAATAACTAACGACTCAAAAATATTTTTCCTTCTAATTTTAGCAAAATTGTATGAATTATTTTTTGTATATTTTATACAACATTTAATGTTTGTGACCTGTTAATATTTCGTTGACTATGCAATCTGTCTTTTTTCAATTGCAGTACTTAGATTTGTACAGTATTTTCATGTACTGTACATTTCCTTAATAGTTCAAATAATCTGAAGCAACTCACTAACTGCTCTTGTTGGAAAGGCCATTACCACAAAGTTCATAACAGTAATCAATGATTTTGATCAAATTAATCTTTATTCACAGCACATATTTATTTAAATAAAGATTCAATGCACAATCACATAAAATTCGCAAGCATTATAAACATATGAGGAGGGAGAGAGATAGAGGGAGAGAGAGAGGGAGAGAGAGGGAGAGAGAGGGAGAGAGAGGGAGAGAGAGGGAGAGAGGGAGGGAGAGAGAGAGGGAGAGAGAGAGGGAGAGAGAGAGGGAGAGAGAGAGGGAGAGGGGTAGAGAGGGAAAGAGAGAGGGGGGAGAGAGAGGGAGAGAGCAAACAAAAGAGATCTTTTTCCAGAAAATAAATCATACTACATCACCATATCAGCTATCTACCCCTAGAAAGCACAAATACTCAATATATGCACATATATGTTGCAGTCCAAACCAACAATAATATTGCTACTGACAATTTAGAATATGATCAACCATGCGATTATAAAAGAAAAATTCCTATCACATTTGAGTAAACAGCACATAATGAAACCATTGCAAAATAGAATAACTTGTAGAAGTCACTTGTGAAAAGTCTCTTTCCCACTACATTAATAAATCAAGAAATTTGAGTACAGAAATTTTAAGGTTATAATTTACGCTCATATTTTCATGCAGTTGCTTATTTGTTCTGATTTGTTGGAGAAGTTCCAAATTTTGTTTCCTATTTGAACTGGAGTCCTCTTAGGCCCTCATTTTGAAATATTTTGGATATTTGAAGTACATAGCATAATACTACAGCATACTTTACGATTATGTTGAATTATATTGCACATTTTTTGATTGATATTACTGAAATGCATATTTCAGGGCTTGTACAATTTCCAATTTTGGCTCATTTTTCCTATTGGTAACTGTTAATAGAGAATGTAAGTTATTCAACACAGACTTCTCTTGGATTTATTTTTCTTATATTATTCTCCCTTGAAAACTATATGTTTTGCAAAGGAATGATTACAGCTAAAAAATTCACAGAATTGGGTAATAATGTGAAACCTAAAATTTCAGCCTGGTTTTCTGCTTGACACCCTGCACAGACTATTCTAATTTCATAGGTGTATCAGTTTTTACTTTTAGAAAGAAATATTAATAGTGTAGGTTAGTCAATAAGATCATCAGTCAGGAGTGAAGTATGTACATTCTGCCAGCAGTATTGTTCTAAGAGTTGTGCACAATTTGAAGTTCGCCCACAGTGCTTCAAGTAACTCAAAAGTTCAGTTGCATGAAAATGCCCAAATTCAAGCCTATGAAGGAGGCCATCTACACACAGAGCTGAAATAATGTGCCGAATTGCAATTGTGACGAAAACTTCATACAAAAAATTTCATTCAAGCATTCTTCACCATAGAGTTAATGGGGTTAATTTTTTTCTCTTTTTTTGACTTAATTTATGATAAAGTAAAAAGTCTTGTTTTATGAAAACCTGAAGTATCACAAGAAATGTGTGTTAAAACTAATTTAACAATGATGTAAATACAAAAACTAGAGCAAAAAAAACTTTAAAGAAAATGTATTGTCCACTGATAATTTGCACTATGAGGTTATAAATTTATTCATCTTCCTTTTATGCTATATTGTTTTAAATATTCATTTTCAACACATCTCAGTGGTTATTTGATGTTAATTTAAATTGAAGAAGAGAGGCAACTTTTTCCTGTTTAGTTCCATTTGTATTCTAAAATTCTTTCCGGATAAAACTTGTCATTTCACACAACTTAATAATATGAAAGTATAGAAGTGAAATTAGCACAAAAGCAAAAATCAAGTTCGTTACTAATCAGGAAAATTGTTTAATTTACTTACAAATCCAAGTAATTATTTATTATAACTTAAGCAATAGTAGTATATATGCAAAATATATATTTCCATCTGTGTTTAGAATCCATCCAAGTTTAGAAAACTAATGTCACACAAGACAAGGGCAGATCCAGAGACAAATTTTGGGAGGGGAAATCCAAAATGTTTGGGTCAAAGGTGTCAGATTACAGATTCTGTAAAATGTCGCAGGCTACACTTATCACAAGCTGCAATATGATTTTATCTGTTTTAATGATTATTAGAAAATATTTTTGCTTGAAAGTTTCAGGACAAGTTAAAATTAATAGTTACTGCCTTTGCAAGAACAAGGACCAGATGACCAGATACTGTTCTTTCACCTACCAAGCTGTTATAGAACACACTGTTGATAATAAAACAGTTATCAGCCATGACCATAGTATAACCATGCCCATGCCCTTTTCTCCATAGTATCTTGGATTCTTTGGCACTAATTCATTGTGACAGAGACTCAACAATTCAAAATACATAGTACCTCAAATTGTCATTCTTTGATTTTCCATGGAAAGAGTAAATTAACAATATTTTCTTCACAAATAAAAACTGTGCCTAATTATAGCTTGCTGATGTTATATAAAGAATAATTTCTAGTTTTATAATTGTCTTAAAAAATGTCCATGACCTCTCATGGTTATAAAAATGCTCCAAATTTTCCCAGACTTTTCTGGAAGTGGACACCCTTTCAAGGTATTTTGCAAAAGTTGTAAAGAAATGTTTTCTTGATATGATAAAGTATGATACAAAGGTAATTTAACCAAACAAATTGCAGTTTTAAAAAAAAAGAAAGCATCTGACAATTTGACATTTTGTCCATTATTCTTCTCTTAAACACGTTTTGCAAATTTTAATTAAGTAACCTCACAATTAATAACAAATATCATTCAACACTTTACCTTATTAGGTTGAATAGCTGGGCATCGCCAATTATAAAGGTAATATTGTAGGTTTCCATCACCAATACCAAACTTCAGCTTCAGGAGGAACTCTTTATTTTCCATGAGGTCCAATGCGTTGAAAACATCAAAGCCATTCTACCATTCAATAAGGAATTAGTTTTTTTTCATTTATCCAAATAATATGCATTATACACAATAATTATTAACTCACATTTTTAGCAGAAACTAAAGTGTCACCCATCAAATCCAACCAGCTTGTTTTCGAAGCCACATTATAAAATGCATAAGCTGCTTTGAGAGTTTTGTGAACAGGATGATGCATTATGGTAGATGGTAATGTGTAGTAACTAACAAAGTCTGTAAAAAATAATGCACGATATTAAAAATGAGAAACTTGTGGCCAACTTACGCATTCACTTCAACATTACTTCAATATATACCTGTCAGTTCAGTTCCATTATCAACAACAAAACTATCCACAATGCCTACTTGTGGCAAGAACCAATGCCGGAAGTCTTCATCCGAAAAGACTGGAGCTAAATCAAACCTCTTCAAATACTAAAAAAATATTTAAAAAAATATTAAAAAAATAACCAATGATCTAATCACAACACCAAACATACAAATAAATTTTGTTCAGTACCTCTTCTAATAATTTATGTGCACGTGGCAAGTCAGCAGGAGTCATCTTCCTAAAACCAGGAGTTTTTGTTGATTCTGGTAATTTGTACAATTTTAATGTACGCTGCATAGTCATGTTGCGACTCAAATGCGAAAATTTAACTTCAATTAACTTCTTTGGGTTTAATGACCTATGCCAATATCTAATGAAAAAATAAAACAAAACAAACATCAATAATAATTTTCTCATGTAAATAATCAAGAGTGCTCCTTAAGAGTTGTAGAATGATATTTCTATAAAGTGATGGATTAGCAGTACATCAAAATAAGAAGCTACAAACTGTAATTTAGATATTTTCAAGTATCACACACACTCAATGCTATTTACTGACATTAAAAATCACTACTACTAATAATAAAAGATATTATTATTGTAGCCCCTGTAGTAATTATACTATTGTATCTGTTGAGAACATGAAGAGGAACATTAACATAGAAATGCAATGTAAATTAATTTGGTAGAAAGAGAATTTAATGAGACATGAGAACTGATGAGATGAACAATATTATTCTTACAATTATCATGATTTAAAAAAGATAGTCTTAATATACTTTATACTAAAAATTATACCTGCATGTTCCAACAGGCTTTGGTAAAACAACACCTGCAGTGTAGACTGCTTGAAAAATGCCAGTCAAATTGACACGACGTGTTATTTCTCGGATAAGAACAGGAGCAACTCTCTTTGATCGCAATTTCTTGTGCACACACAGGAAGTTTATTTCTACCATCTTCTTTGTCCTATTTAATAAGGAAAGGTTCACATTAACTGATACATTTTTCTCAGAAGATTTGTGAATTAAAAATACATTAAAAATTAAAATGATAATTCATTAGTAAAAATTGAATAACTTTACTACACAATCACCTAAAATATTTATTACAGTTACTACTTTGACAAAAAAATATTGTCTTTCCAATAATTTAATGTCGAGAACAAGACTCAAACCAGCAATAAATTAAAAAATATAGCATGACATATAACATTATTAATACAATACTTTACGCTAACAAGGCAAAATATAATCTTTTAAAACTTTTATTGAGAAAAAATATTTGTATTGCCTTAGTTCCCAAATATTCTATGAATTAAAATAATAATAATAATAATAATAATAATAATAATAATAATAATTAAAAAATAATAAAACACCACCACCACCCTCAAAACAATCATATCAGTACATTCCTTACAACTTTCCTTATACACTTTAAGACATTAGTATTTCACTTAGACTTTTTTAACAAACTTATCAGCAATATTAGCACATATCAAGTTCTTATTATTTGGTATGTTCAATGGGTCAATAAATTCAACAGGAGTTGTACAGTTTAATACAACCTTCCCAGGTAATGAAAGATAACCGATTTCAGAACAGAAGTGTTCAGATATGATTAGTTTTCTACAATAAAGCTATCAGTATATCTTTATATGATTTAAGAATCAGTTGGATACCATTTACCACACCACTTTCAATTACTACCAAGAGGAATATTCAAGGACGTACAGTAAGTAATATATATATTTTTTTAAATCCACCACCCATAAATTACAGAATTTAACAATGCAATGCATTTGCACATTTCCTACCTTTAAGATAAAAAAGCAAAAACGTATTTCCTCCACATTACCGACATCTGAATGCTTCTAACTGTTAAGTCATTTTCCAATGGTTTGTATTTTCAATTTCCTTATTGAGAACTGGATCATAGATAAATGTCACATTTCAGATTTTTAGTTAAGGGTAAATTAAAAGCATATTTCAAATTAATGTATCGAAACAATCTCTTTAACTTCATTGTATTGGATCAAACAAGACAAGACTTCAATAGTACACATGATTTAATTGCTAAAATGATATATTACTGTTAATAATGTTTATAAGTGGTTATACTTACTGGTTGTATATTCTCAATGTTGCTGGAATGGCACTTATGAAACCAACGAGACGATTGCTTTTTATTACTCGAACTCCACAATGCCAATCTCTTCTCCATCCAGGAGGTTGAAGAGCCCTATTAAGAGAATAAAAATATAAACATTACAACACAAAAGCATTAATATAGCTAGGCATTATTGTAAACATAAATTGTAGAAAACATTAGGGGCAAATTTATGCATTTACACAATAAATAACATATTTCCAATAAATTGAGATTACTCCACTCTTCAATCCAAAATAATTTATTATTCAATATTGGTTAAAAATCAAATTCTAATAAATTGATTTCACCATTCAAATATTTCAGATTTGGGAAAATTAAATGAAACCTAATTCAGTTCCTGCAACAGTGGAAAAAGGACAAACAAAATTTCAAGTAGTAACATAAGATATTAAAATCATAAAAAATAAACGTGTAGTTTCTGAGTTCCAAACATGAACAAACATCTAATAATAGGAGTAATAAGCCTTAGAGTGTAATTAATCATTGAATTAACTTTCATCCCTTTCCTCTAATTTTTTTTTAATTTCGAAAGTATAACCTGCTGATATTTTCTCGAGTTCACATTACACTAGATGCAAGTAGAGTGGTCCTTTCAATGGCAATATTACCAAATTAAATTGGTTGGTAATGGAAATAGTCTCCATTACACAAAAGCAAAACTTTCTCTTTACAACTACACTTTCTGCAATCTTTTATTTATAATTCAACTAAATTGGTAAAGGAGAGGGGATAGGCATTCCAGAGATCAAACCTATTTAACATGCAGTAAAACAGCAAGATACTAAACTATGATTAACATTCTAAAAGAGTAAATCTTTTTTACTGTTTAGAAAATAAAAATCATTCTTGATATAAACTTCTAATAGTATATCCACAAAAGTCCAATTTTCTTGTATCACCCACTTCCTAAGAAATTAAACAATATTCAATTTTAAATATACTCTAAAGAATATTCTGATATGAGTGTAGTTGACATACTAACTGCACTCACAATATGCAGCTTACAAATGAAGTTCAGTTACTTTCTGTGCCTTCGTATCAGAGGAGGAGAAAATGATAAGAAAAAAAGAGACAAAGTAAGAACATCTAACCCAACAACATTACATTAGTAGAGTACGCATTAGATACCTGCCCTCTCGACAACTTTTAAAGTGCAAGCCAACATTCACAATTTTCTGGTCGTACCAATAACTAGAATGTAAGAATGCTTCAGAAAAAAACAGGTTAATTTCAATTTCTTCTAGTATATTACTTAGCATTATTGTCAAAAAGTATTAAGAGCGTTTTATTTAATTTCATAGGAAAAGATAAAATTTCTTTATTCTGGTTATGTATTTTGTAACCAATACACAGTGCAATATTATGAACAATTCATTCCATAATCTGTAGCTTCATGTTCTTTGGATAATGTATGTGAAAAATTAATTTTGTACTCTTTATCAATTGCCTCAGCAAAAAGCTCTTCTCTTTCACTCATTTACAGGCAATTACTTCATTGTTTCTGTGGCTCTCAGTCATATATCATTGCTGTTCAGTTCAGAAATCAAAACTAAATGCCAGATATATAAGCAATACGTTAATCTCTTTTCTTTAATATTTATGTATTGGAAGATATTCTAATATTCATAAATTAACGAATAAAAACGATATCCTCATAAAATTTTGAGTTTAAAAAACAGTATGTAAAATATTGTGAAAACTAAAAGATTCTGTTCTATACAATACCACCTTTCCAGCCTAAACTCTCGCAAAAATATTTTTTCTGTGACGAAGTACTTTCAAAACATTGAAAACTTTTGATCATAAACAAAGGTTTCCCTTTATTTACAGTATAATGGTCAGTATAAAAAACATTTCTTACCATTTCAAAAATGCAGGAGGATAATCAAATCTGAACATAGAATCATCATCTTCAACATAATTCTCATTCAGAAGCATGTACAATTCCTTCAAAACAAGTGGTTCATCAAGATTTAAAGTGTCCCACTTAAAGCCATCAGGAAGAGAATAAGGTTCTTTTCTGATTTCTGACAATGCTTTGTCTGGTTCAATAGGCTCATTACACGTTATCTTCTCATCTACGGAGCAAAATATTCAAGAAAGTATCATAGAACATGTAGACATTTATCAGGACAGAATTTTAAGGTAATTCCAAGACTTTCTTCGCAATATAATAGGCTAACCAATTAAAATTCTGTCACCTTATTTCAGAAACCATCCCATTTCATTTGCAAGACATAATTAGAAAATAATGGTTAGATAATGAAAATGAAATGATTAGGAATTCACCTAAATAAATTAGAAACAACGTGTTAACCATATTACACACACAATAAGGCAAAACGAACTACTGAACTGCGTAATCATGGTAACAAAACAGAGTTCTTGGTGATAAGGCATTTTGGAATTCAAGGCATTTTCCAGGCTTGAAAAACACTTTCCAAGTTCTGGTTTGCAGTAAATTCCAACTTTCTGAATAATTAATTATATCATCTCATGCTCGGGAATTTGAAATCATATAAATATTGGCATTATCAGAATGTACTCTGCAATTATATTAATTCTTCTGCATTTAACTAGTCCCCCTAAAATTATTGTACAACTTCTCAAGCAACACATATTACAATGTCTTTATGCTATGACAATTTCTTTTCAAAGGTGATTTTGAGGTTTAAATACAATTAGAACAATGGCAGTCCATTGTAAAATTCTCCTAGTTTGTTGAAATTTATGTTTGTCTCATCTACTCAATTCCACTTACCCCTACTATATTACTACTGTAAACCTCAATGTTCTCTGGCTATTCATGTCAAAAATGCAATATGTACATCTCTTTATAAAGTACAAATTAAATACTACAGTGAGTTGAAGTGTTACAAAAAAGAAGAATTTTATGTTACAACAAATTCATTTGTTCTTTTATATATGACAAAAGTGGGTAAGTACTAGGAAAACTTTATAATAGAATCTTACTATATGGAATTTAACACTGATTATTTCAGTCTTGAAGTTCATACAAATACTATGACTTCAAAAATTGTTTAATTTTGGTATATCTTTGAAAAATACACATAATAAGTAGAACTACACAAAAAACGGTTTTAAAAAATTGTTTCCAGAAAATGTATCAATAAACAAGGTAAAACACTTGAGACAACGAAATGAATCAGATTTATTGCCAAGTACAATAAATAAAGAAATATGGAAGTATCTATCATATGGTCAGTACAGTCAGTCAAACGTAGCAAAAAATCAGAATACAACTTAATACATAAAATTGATGAAATATTATATCTGAAAAAAAAATTCAGAATTCAGTTTATCTACAATGAACACTCTATAGCAACTAATAAAAAAGTAGCAATGATGGAGTAACAAAGATATCAGATTGTTATTTGTCCAGTTTCCTTACACCATTAAACATTAAATATCTGTTTATCTAAAATGAATATACTAAATTTTCAATTATTACAGCAAAATAACATATCAGAAACAAATACAATTTTCTACTCTTAGATTTCGGCATTGTCATTATAAAATTACTGATCTCTATTAGTCAGAAAATATAAAATCCTCCCCTCTTAGTATATTCGAAAGTTTTAAGAGTAAAAAGAAAAATTCTGTTACAAAGTTAAGCTATTAAATTCTATTTGCATGGCATTATCTAACATTCTATGCCAAAATTAAATTTCAAATTACAAACTGATGAATTTAAAATTAAATTGAAGTGATAACCTTAATAACCACAGTAAAATATTTTTTATTGCATTTCAGTTTAAATTTGTTCATTTATACTTTGATACTTCATGTGGCATATTATACTTTCGTAAATCTGTTAGAAGTTTATTATAAAACACATTTTGAAATTTTTTCTCTCACTTTATTTTATACATCAAGTATTCTTTTTCATAGGCAAAATTTGTTTAGTACATCTCAAACAATGCAAGGACATTTAATCTCCAAGAAACCAGTATACATCATTTGCAAAACAAAGTACAAAAAAATGGAAGTATCAAAAGAAACACTATATCTAAAACACATACCCATTTTCGGAACAGGTTGTGTGTTCCAAAATTGATACTGCTTCTGCAAAGCTTCTTCTGTTGTCTTAGCTGGTTTTTGTTGAAACGACAGAACCTCCATTGCTTTACGAATATCCTAAATATCAATGCAATTAAATCAAAACATCAGCTGTATTTATTTCAATAATTATTATCACACAAAACTAATTTCACAAAATTAAAAATACACATATTCCTTTCATTAAATGATACTAACTTGTATTGAGATATTACAGCCGCCTTGCATGTCTTCATCCATAACATTTTCCAGACCCTTTTCTCCATCATTTCCATCCTTGTTGTTTCCATTTCCCAGATTTCCTGATTCTCCACTGCTTCCAACATTATTCTTTTTGCGTCTGTTCCTCTTTTTGGCAGAACTTAAAAAAAAAATAATGGGAGTGTTTTTAAATCTCTGTTCACTAGCCACATTCTATTACAATTCAAATCAAAAAGAATCAGAGGCTAATAATAACAAAACTGTTGAAACTCCATTCACAATTTTCCTTCATAATTTTATTCTTCTCACATACAAACTTCCTTTAAGAATTTTGGAAGATAAATTATTTAATTTTTCAGTTAATCAATACTTCCTTTCTGAATTACATTGTGGATTCACACTTTTTTTTTTTTTTTACAAATTGAAGTATTTCACATATGACAGATATATTCTTTACTGTCTTTCTTTCCTCGCTCATAAACTTCCCCTATTTCTTTCTCCATGTCTCTCCTCTTTCCTTAACTAAATTATTTACTGGTACAGTGTACTCACTCAATACATTCATTCCAAAACAACCACTCTGACAGTGTACATGAGAAACTACCTCAAACTGAAGAAAACACAACTATCATGACTTAAAACATTATGCTCTGTACAAGTTAGATGACACACTAATCACAATACCAAATCAAATAAACTGTGAATGTGTGCATTATGTGCTGAACACTTGGTTTTCTCTGATAAACACTTAAAAATTCACACACAGAAAGTGCCAATTCTTACATTTCAGAAAGTCAACAGTACTGTATTGATGCTTGATGCCTGCAACAATTGCAGCATTTATTAATAATATAACAGAGAAAAGAAATGGATGTGCTAAGCAGAGTTTACATACCATTAGAATTAATATTTCATACCAATAACAAAACAATAACTAATTTACAATTACTATTTTAAGTAATAATAGAATTTTTTACAGATATCTTCATTAATAATTAAATATAGTAACTTAAAAACGAAATAATAACAAGCTATTAGAAAATGTACATTGACATTCTTGAAAACTCAAATTCTTTGAATTTTTACATTTTCTCAATTTCATTGCAACACACACAAATTTACATTCAGAGACAGATGTGGTTTTATATCATGAACTTTCACAACAGAAATAATTATTTACTGCTCATCCACTTGAAAATAGTGAGCATTAGGAGATAATTGATAAGTCATGTTTTAAGATTTACAAGCAGAAAGTGTCTGTCCTTATAAACAACATAATTCAAGAACCTAACCACAAATAGTATCAACAAACAACATACACTTCTTTTTAATCAACTTATTACGTTATATTTTGAAAGTTATTTTTAAATCTGTGCTATTATAGTTACCTTTTCGTTTTTGAATCTTTAACATATTTATCTTGTTTCTTTAAGTCATTTTCAATTACTTCGCTTTCATCACCCATTTTAATTAAACACTTAAATGAAGTCAAATAAAATGATACGAAAAACTCTCAGTTTACAATAGACATCCGAAAACAGAAATTAGCATTTGTCACACTCCAATAATACGTTTGTCATTGAATATGACAAATGCCGCAATGTACTAAATATTTTGTTCAACCATTACTATCACAAAATGCAGAGATCGGCCATGCTTACTACCAGGTATACCACAATCATCACACCAGGGCCGGTTCACTCAATGTTAAAAGGCGGGGGACTAAGTTTGTTTCCTCACTCACCCGGA